CCCTACACGGCCAGGAAAATGCCGATCGCCACTTTGGGGTCAGGAACAGTGTTCCCTCTAAGCTGAGTGAGTGTGAGCCGGCTCACAGTTCTTTAGCCTCCGGCTCACACATTTTTGTCTTCGCTCAGGAAGGAGGGCTCCAGAGCAAACGAATTTATGCAGCAGCCAAATCGCTCGCTCACAACGTTCGTGCCAGAAGCTCACCAAGTAGAATTTTTGCTCACGAGACTCCACAGCTTAGAGGGAGCATTGGGCAGGAAGCCGTTTTTCTCCAGGCCAGTTTGGCCGTGGATCCTGGAGGGTTTGTTTGTTTGTTTTGTCCTCTTCCGGGCATAGAGCAGGGATCATTAGGGGTGTGGGGGGGGAGGTATTGTGAATTTCCTGCCTTGCGCAGGGGGTTGGACTAGATACAACGATTCTGTGATTCTTTGATTCTATATATCTGTGGTGTGGCCTCATTTAGAATGCTGCGTACAGTCCTGGTCATCATGTATCAAAAAGGACATGGCAGAGCTGGAAGAAGTACAGAGGAGTGCAACCAAGATGGTTGGGGGGGAGGGTTGGAGCCCCTTCCCTAGGAGGAAAGGCTGAAGAGTCCGGGACTTTTCAGTTTAGAAAAGAGACAACTGAGGGAGGAGCATAGTAGAAGTTTATAAAATTGCACATGGGGTGGAGAACAGTGGGCAGAGAGAATTTTTTTCATCCTCCTCCCAGAATACTGGAACTCGAGGGCATCTCATGAAGCTTATGGGCAGTAGGTTCAGGACAGACGAAAGGAAATACCACTTTACACCGAGAGCGATTAAAATGTGGAATTCGCTGCCAAAATAGATAGCAGTGACCACAGGAATAAACCGTTTTCAAAGGGGAATAGACAGATTTGTGGAGGATAAGTCCATCAACGGACACTAGCCATGGGGACTGAGGAAAACCTCCACATTCAGAGACAATCAGCTTCTGAATCCCAGGACCAGGAGGTGTGGTCTACTCAGACTGGCAGTGGCTCTCCAGGGTCTCTGGCACAGGTCTTCCACCCCACCTCCTACCTGATCCTTTTTTCTGGAGATGCCAGGGATTGAACCTGGGGCCTTCTGCTCCCCGTTTGGTGTAGTGGTTAAGTGCGCGGACTCTAATCTGGGAGAACCGTGTTTGATCCCCCACTCCTCCACTTGCACCTGGCTGGATGACCTTGGGCAAGCCGTAGCTCTGATAAGAGCTGTACTTGAAAAAGAGCCGTTTCTGTCAAGAGCTCTCTCAGCCCCACCTACCTCACAGGGTGTCTGCTGTGGGGAGGGGAAGGGAAAGGAGTTTGTGAGCCGCTCTGAGACACCTTTGGGTAGTGAAGGACGGGGTATAAATCCAATCTCCTCTTCTTCTTTTACCTCACAAGGGTGTCTGTTGTGGGGAGGGGAAGGGAAAGGAGTTTGTGAGCCGCTCTGAGACACCTTTGGGTAGTGAAATAAATCCAGTCTCTTCTTCTTCTTCTTTTACCTCACAGGGTGCCTGTTGTGGGGAGGGGAAGGGAAAGGAGTTTGTAAGCCACTCTGAGACTCCTTTGGGTAGTGAAGGGCGGGGTATAAATCCAATCTCTTCTCCTCTTCTTCTTCTCCTGCATGTCAAGCAGATGATCTGCCATTGAGCCACAGCCCCTAAACAACTCTTGCTATTTTCATTTTCAGTTCAGTTTAAGGTGCTCGGTCCAGAGGGAATGGAGTTCCCCCCAAAAAAAACACACACACCCATCTCTCTGCAGTCCATTTCTACCTTCCTGCCATGCTTTTCTGGGAACCCTCCGGAAGGACTTGAGGGGGGAAGTCAGCAAAAATGACCCACCTGAAGAAGTAGAAGCGCAGAACTAGAAATTAAAAATACACTCAGTACTATGGATACAGCGGTCACGAGACAATGTTAACAATTCTGTACTTATACATCCAAAGATTTAAACATGGACACACAAATCTCCAAAGTAGTCTCTTATCAATTGGCATTCACAATTCACAGATAACGTCACTGTCAATGCACACAACATTTATTTATTTATTCACCCTCTCCCCCCCCCTGCTGCTAATTATCTGCACCTGTCGTCCCTATTAAAGAGCCCAACTTCTGGTGTTACAACTTCCCTTTCCGCGCACACAGTCTGTGGGTCTCGCAGCGATCACGCATCCTGGCCCACTGTATAACCGACTGGTCTCACTCGGCTTTCTCTCCCTTCTCTTCCCGCCAGTGTCCCATAGACACCAGGAAGCAGCTCGCCGAGAACCTGGTGGTGATCGGGGGCACCGCCATGCTGCCCGGCTTCCTGCACCGGTTGATGGCGGAGATCAGGTACCTGGTGGAGAAACCCAAGTACAAGGAGACGCTGGCTACCAAGGCTTTCCGGGTGCACAACCCGCCCGCCAAGCCCAACTGCGTGGCGTGGCTGGGAGGTGAGTCTGCAACGGCCGCAAAGGAAATCGGGGGGGGGGAGGACTCGGGGGTCCGGGTGCTCTTCTCTGCCCCCGCCCCCGTTATTCCTTCCATTGGAAATGTGTGTCGCCTTTTTTCCCCTGACGTCCAAAGCCACAAACACCCAGTCAGATTAAAAAAATACAAAAAGCAGGAAGTAAAAGCGTTGCTAATTACAAGCAGCCAGATTGGCAGCGCCGTAGTATTGGGAATTGTGAAAACCCGATGTGTCCTGCAGGAATTATTTCGAGTTAAGGGCTCAGTCTGGTAGCCCCATTTGACAGTGTGGGGGCCACCACCAAGAAGGCAGATTCTAGTCCGGTAGCATCTTTAGGAAGGACCTTATTTACTCTTGAAAAGTGTTCGGAAGCTGCAGCTAGTGTGGAATGCTGTGGATAGACAGCTGGTCAAGGCCAGCTATCGGGAGCATGTGACTCTTGCACTGGCTACCGATCCACTCGTGAGCCCAATTCGAGGTGTTGGTGTTGATCTGTCAAGCCCTACGGGACTTGGGAGGAGGGTATCTGAAGGACCGTCTTCTCCCAAATGTTCCTGACCCGGAATTAAAATCACAGGGAGGGGTGTGGCGTGCTCGCTTATAGGGGAAACGGTTTTACCTTTAAACACTCTCTGTGTATATAAACTTGGTAGTTTTCTGCTGCCACCAGGAATTAAAAATTCCAATTCTCTCTCTCTTTTGGTAGTATGACCTAGGGTTTGGGCACTTCAGAGGACTATGTGGCCCTGAGGAAGTACTGTACTGATTTCTGGAATAAGTTTAAGCAAAAATTGATTTATTTAATAAAGAACAAAATAAGTTTCTGGTTATTTTGAACAGTTGCTGACGAAAGGAACTTGTAAATATAACTGTCAAAGCTTGGTGCTACAAACAGTCTCCCAAACTCCAATCTGACAGGCTTATAGTTGCAGTATGATCTCTCTCTATCTCATATATATAGTTATAGATATAGCCACATAGGCTAGTCTCTTTGTTTTGTTCACACAGAATGGAATCAACTCTCTTAGTCACACAGACTAAACTGTTGGTCTTATTCACATAGAATTAGAGTCAAAATCCCATAGTCACACAGACTATGCTCACTCTTCTAACTTCACACAGAGAATCCTTCATAACTCTCAGAGTCACACAGACTCTCTTTAAAACTCTTCCATACTTGTCTCTCCCATATCACAGAATCACCTCATAAACACACACACAGAATCCTCTCAGACACCCCTCCTCCCACACTCTCAGTCAGCAGCCAATCAAATCACACTTGTCACCCTCTATCACTGTTCTCGTATTACTGAATTCAAACTAAATATTTAAAGGAACACACACACACCAAAACATGGAATCATTACAAGGGGCCCTCCTGGCTTCTTATCAGTCAAGTGAGCTCGTTTGGTGGGTGCCCAAGAGCAGGCCTTTTCAGTGGTAGCCCCACGGTTATGGAGCAACCTCCCCATAGAGGTGTGCCTGGCCTTCCCAGTTTCAATCTTTAGGAAGCAGCTGAAGATAGTTTTATTTAGAACACATTTCATTAAAATAGTCCTAAATTATTTGTTTTACATATTTTATTTATGTTGTAGGCCCCCTCGAGCCCCATAAGGGAGAAAGGCAGCTAACAAATGTCTTAAAATAAATTTCCAGGGTATCAGCTTTGAAGAGTCAGCCCCCTTCATCAGATGCAAGTAGGAAGGGACAAAAGGAGCTTTGACTCTCGATATACCTTCGAAATCTTGTTGGTCTTTAATACACTATGGGACTTGAATCTTGCTCTCCTGCAGACCAGCATTGCTACCCACCCGAATCTATCTTTTAGTGAACCTTGTTCTGTCCTGCTGGTTTCTCACACGCTGGCCCCCCACCAGAGCCTTGTTCACTTACAAATGCACATCTCAGCAATAAAGTAGAACATTAAAGAACCAGGAATGATGAGGTTTTTACTGTTAAAGAACCAGGAATGATGAGGTTTTTACTGTTAAAGAACCAGGAATGATGAGGTTTTTACTGTTAAAGAAACCAGGAATGATACGTTTTTGCTCTTAAAGAGTCAGGAGTGGTTTTATTTATTTATAGTAATTATAGCCTGCCCTTCCCACAAGCGGGCTCAGGGTGGGTAACAACATAAGAGCAGTACAATAAATATAACTGAAATATTAAAACATAATAGCGTAATATTAAAATTGGTGGTCACAGCCCAATGACAGAAACTGGCTGTGGTTTTTGCTCTTAAAGAGCCAGGAATGATAGTGGGTTTTTGCTCTTAAAGAGCCAGGAATGATAGCAGGTTTTTGCTTTTAAAGAGCCAGGAATGATAGCGGGTTTTTGCTCTTAAAAAGCGAGGAATGATAGCGGGTTTTTGCTCTTAAAGAGCGAGGAATGTTAGCGGGTTTTGCTCTTAAAGAGTGCAGAATGATAGCGGGTTTTGCTCTTAAAGAGCGAGGAATGATAGTGGGTTTTTGCTCTTAAAGAGCGAGGAATTATCACGTTTTTTTGCTCTTAAAGAGCGAGGAATTATCACGTTTTTTTGCTCTTAAAGAGCGAGGAATGTTAGCGGGTTTTTGCTCTTAAAGAGCGAGGAATGATCGTGGGTTTTTGCTCTTAAAGAGCGAGGAATGATAGTGGGTTTTTGCTCTTAAAGAGCGAGGAATAGCGGGGTTTTGCTCTTAAAGAGCGAGGAATGATAGCGGGTTTTTGCTCTTAAAGAGCGAGGAATGTTAGTGGGTTTTGCTCTTAAAGAGTGCAGAATGATAGTGGGTTTTGCTCTTAAAGAGCGAGGAATGATAGCGGGTTTTTGCTCTTAAAAAGTGAGGAATGATAGCGGTTTTTGCTCTCAGACCCAGGAACGATAAGGTTTTTACTCTTGTATACGTGTGAAACTCTGCAGGGGCCATTTTCGGAGCCCTCCAGGATATCCTCGGGAGCCGTTCGGTGTCGAAGGAGTACTACAACCAGACCGGCCGCATCCCCGACTGGTGCTGCCTCAATAACCCTCCTCTGGAAATGATGTTCGATGTCGGGAAGACGCCACCTCCGCTGATGAAAAGAGCCTTTTCCACTGAGAAATAGGGATCCGGCCGAGACGGGACCCCTGCTCATTTGGCACTTCCCCTCCCCCACTCCTTTCCTGCGGTACCGGTGACTGTGATGGAGCAGAAAGCGGAGTGTCCACCCAAGCGGTACCACAACCGGCCATGCCCCTTCCGCCTGCCGAAACCAGCACCGGTGATCTATTTATGGGTACAGATCGCAAGAGAGGTGCCCCCGGGCCCTCCACCTTTCTGTATTATTTAACGTCCTTTAGACATTGGGGGGGTGGGGGGGGGGGATATGAAGAGAACTGCTTAGAACCTGTACTTGCACGCGTAACGTTCTTTCAGTGCTATCTTTATTTCGTATTTGTAGATGGCTGAAATGTTTAAAAAGTGGCAGGGGAGCCCTGCCGTAACAAGTTGTGTGTGTGTGTTTGTTTCCTGGACATCTGCAAAACGGCTTCCTGCCTTGGTTATTGCGGAGGTGACATCTCTTTTGGGGTGCGGGGGGGGCTCACATGTGTTGCCTTCTGCTTGCTCTTCCTTCAAGAATCATAGAGTTGGAAGGGACCTCCAGGGTCATCTAGTCCAACCCCCCCCCC